TGGAGAGCATCATGGAGAAGAGTTCCTGGGCCAGGTTCAGAAATGTAATCATATGGAGTAACAACAGTTGGACCGTATGGTGAACGCAACTGTGGCGTCTGATAAGTCGCCATCCCTCTCACTGCCTGACTGTGCCTCATAGCACCAGAAAGCATTGGTGATGACGGCACAGAAGGAGCGTTCGGGGACAGAGACCTTTGAAGGGGAGACGCGTACGATGCATCTCTTAAAGCCTGATTCTGGAGGGCTCCTGAGAGCAGAGGGGATGAAGGGGCGACAGGCTGTTCATAAGGTGACATTGGTCGTTGTAAAGGTGAAGCATAAGATGCATCCCTTATGATTTGATTCTGCAAAGCGTTAGACAGATAAGGAGAAGACGGTGCCATCAGCTGCTCGTGTGGTGACACCGGTCTTTGTAAAGGCGAAACAAATGAAGCATCTCGTAGAACTTGATTCTGCAAAGCCCCCGAAAGCAACGGGGAAGACGGTGCCATCGGCTGATCGTAAGGAGACACTGGTCTCTGAAGGGGGGAACTGTAAGACGCTTCTCTTAAGGCCTGGTTTTGCATGGCAGTAGAAAGGGAAGGGGAGGACGGATAATAAGGATCTGCATATTCCACAGCCATCTCTGGTGCATATGTTGGTGGGTGGGCAGATCGAGGATGAAGATGGGGAGAAGACTGGCGCGACAGTCCAGGTGAGAGGCGTGGTGAGGCAGGTGGTGGCATTCGTTTCAAAGAGACTTGTGGAGAGGCAGGTGGCATACTTCTCATGGACTGCCGTGCCATCAGAGGACGTCCTCGGGCTACAGGACGAGATGGAAGTCTGCCAGATTCTTTTCTCCTCAGAGGAACACGGTGGACCATGTGGGGAGAGTGAAAGGGGGAAGCAAGGGAGGAGTCTATTGTAAGAACAGAAGATCTGTTGCTTCTTATAGAGGAGGCACGGAATGGCCGAACATTCTGGGTCGGTGGGGGTACGGGGCGCCCTCTGAGACCCATAGGAGACGGTCTGACAGTACCCAAAGGAACATGTCCTCCCATCCTGGGTCTGGCTAATGGCGTTGGATCCCTGAGTAGACGAGTTGAACTCCTAGAAAAGGTGGGAGACGAACGCCCGAGGGGGGGCCCTGCAGGGGACACACTACGCCTTGATGGAGAAGGAGATGGGGATGGTCTTCTACTCAGCTGAGGAGAATGTGAGGGGGATATATGACCATGAACGAGGGGGGGTGACTGTGGACCAAGCCTTCTTCCTACAAAAGGGCTACGGGCTGGACTGGGTGATGGCGGGGGGCTTTGCCGCCTCATGGAGACACGAGGTGATGATGGTGGAGAGGGTTGTCTGAATGACGTCCTTGGCGAGGGTGGAGGGCTGCGTCGTACTACAGAAGCCCGTTGTGAGTGCAGCGGAGAGGGTACTCTGGCCACCGGAGGTGGTGAATGTGAGGCTGGCATTCTTCGACGACCACGAGGAGATGCCATTGGGGATGAAGGTGGAGAGATGTGTCTCGACACGACAGAAGGAGGTCTCTGGGCACGCATTTGGAATCCACTCCGTACGGATGGCTGTGGAGAAGGGCTCCGTCTCTGTGGAAGCATAGAGGGTAATGGGGAAGCTATGATGGACGGAGGTCTCTGTAACTGAGGTGATCGCATGACAACAGAGCGGCGTGATGGGGTTGGGGACGGCTGCATGCGACGTCCAGGAACAGGAGACATTCTTGCTTGCTTTATTATCATTGCAGTTGGAGTGGGGATCGATGGTAGTCCTTGTTGTGGCTGCATCATCATTTGATCCACCATAAACTGCTGCTGGAGTAAGACAACAGAAATGAGTTAATTGGATTGACAGAAGTCCCTCATTGTCACGTGAATATGATTACACAGAATGACAAACCTGCTGTGGAATCATCTGCTGTGGAATCATCTGCTGTTGCACCATCATTTGCTGAGGCATCATTTGTGGTTGCGGTCCCATCTGTGAGGGCACCATTTGAGGAAACATACCCTGCTCTGGTGATAAGGCACCCTGAGGCTGTGGTGACATCATCTGTGATGTCATCATTTGAGGCGCCATGCCCTGGTCCTGTTGCATCATCATTGATTGCTGTGGAAACATCTGTGAAGCCATGTGTTCTTGTGGTGACATCATCATTTCTGGCTGTGGTGACATCATCATTTGTTGTTGTGGTGACATCATCATTTGTTGTTGTGGT